GAATCCGATGCCAAATGCACGTTTGGAAGCGTTCAGCTTCATTTTGTATTTGCGAAGAATGCCGAATGTCTCTTCTAGATCGGCTAGATGAGTTTGCTTTTCTTTGGACTTGACCACCATATCGTCAATCTACACTTCCATAGTACGGCCAAGTTGCTCCTTGAACATGGCAGTGACTAGTCTTTGGTAGGTTGCCCCCACATTTTTCAACCCAAAAGGCATGACCTTATAGCAATAGGTTCCTCTTGGGGTGAGGAATGCAGTTTTGTCTTGGTCCTCTGGATGCATGGCAATTTCATGGTAGCCTCTATATGCATCCAGGAAGCTCAAACGTTGATAATGTGCCGTGACATCTACAAGTTGGTCAATTATAGAGAGGGGAAAGCAATCTTTGGGACAAGCTTTGTTTAAGTCCATGAAATCTACGCAAACATGCCAAGTTTCATTTTTCTTCTTTACCACCACAGTATTCAACAGCCAGGTAGGATAGGTCACTTCGCGGATTGCCCCGGCATCAAGTAACCGGTCAACTTCTTCAACAACGGCAGCAGTGTGTTCCGTAGCTGACCGCCGACTTTTCTAAATAATCGGCTTACATCTAGGATCAACGTTTAAGCGGTGTTCAGACACAGATGGATCCACCCTCAGCATCTCATATGCTGACCGTGCAAATACATCAAGATTGCCGAGTAAAAAGGAAATTAGCTTCTACCTGTCTACTTTATTCAAGGAGGCGCCGACCATGAAGAACTTGTCTGGATCCCCGTCAATTTCAACCCGATCCAGGGCTCCGGTTTCCTTTTCACTTGGGATCCGCCTAATGTCGTCGAGGCTCTCTTGATCCGGCACCTCAATTGAATTGACCTCCAGCTCTCTTAGTGTCTTTTCGGCAAGAAGATAACATGCATGTGCATTTCTAGGAACCTCGAATTTGCTCAATGCCGCAATCAGTCGAAAAATGAAGTAATTGATGATATGCGCTTGGTACGGCCTGCATGACATGCAGCCAAGTTTGTCCCATGATGAGATTATACGGCGAAGGAAGCTTGACAACCAAAAATTCTACATCCACTGACCGGGAGCCCGCCCGAACTGGTAGTGTGATCTTGCCCAAAGGATACTCAGGGTTAGCGTTAAAGCCGAATAATGGATAATCGGCCGGCGACAAATCCGAGTCAGTGAAGCCGAGTTTAACAAACATTTTGTAATACATTATTTCCGAGGTGCTTCCCTGATCAATGAGAACACGTTCAACGGTGAATATGTTCACGTGTAGCTCAATGACGAGGGGATCGGTGTGGGGGAGAGTTACCCCAATCAAGTCAGTGTCGTCGAAACTAATCCTCCCAGTCTCATGGGGCCGTTTTGCTGGTGTGATCGGCCTATGCAGGCTAGGTTGCAACTGAATTGTCTGTATATCAGTTGACGACGACAGGCTGTATATCATGTGAATCATACCAAGTGGAGGTGAATCTGACCGTAGGGCTACCGTGTTCGATGGATTATTCTTTCGGACGTGTTGCGCCAGTCGGCTGTCTTGTACCAGTTCCTCCAGGTGGTCCTTCAATGCTTAACAACTGTCGGTGTCATGACCATGGTCCTTGTGGTACTCACACTGCTTGTCCCTCTTCCTTGTATTGGGAGGTCCCATCATTTTGGGTGGCCATTTAAAGAATGGAAAGTGTTGAACTTTCGACAAAATCTTGCTGATCGGCTCTGCTAACTCCATGTACTTTTTGTCCGAGCGTCTTGTGCGCCTGCTATCTACCTGATATTGTTTATTTGATCGGTGTGAACACTGATCACTCGATCGCGCGCAAGTCACGCCTTTTGTATCATTTAGCCCGATTCCGCGGTTTAGGGCTCCTTGATGGCACGACGTTTATCGGCTGAACGATTCCAAGTGGAGCTGTCTTAACGACTTTCTGTCCGGCTTTGACCCGCAGGGCATCGTCTTCCACCTTATAATATTCTTTAACTTTCTTCATTAATGCCCAAATTGTTTTGGAGGCCATCTGGTCAACGAACTGCAGAGAGAAGGTAGTGATGGCCATGGAGTCCTTGTAGGCATCGTCTACCAGGTTAAAGCATTCTCAATAGCGTGCCGAATATTCACGAAGCGTTTTTCTAGTTTAATTTGCATTGCTTAGAGAGAATCGGCTTGCTTTGGCTGGATTTCATTGGTGATGAATCTTACCTTAAAGGACTTTTGGAGTTGATGGAAACTTTTAATCGATGCTGGCTCCAGTTTATAGTACCATCTGACGACTAGTGGTCCCAGACTCCTCGATATGAGGGCTTCATCGTCAGCATGCAGTGTCATCGCTTGTTTATAATGATGAATGTGGTCAGTGGGATCTAATTTTCTGTCATACAAGGTGAATGACGGTGCTTTGAACTTCTTGGGTAGCACAGCCTTTACAATTCATTGCACAAAAGGGTCATGCTTATTTTCTTCATCCGAATCATCACTTCTCCTCCCTCGCTTGTGCTGTACATACGGACTTCCTTCAGATGAGCTGGATACATCGACTTGTCCTTTCTTTCTGGGTTCCGGGGATGGTGAGTCAGAATCGCTGCCATTATCATGTTTCCGAAGTCGGCGTTGTTGATCATTCTTTTTTCCTAAAGGTCGACCCCGGTCGTGGCATGCAACTTGCAGGGATTTAGCTAGCTCTAGGGCCAACTCCTGGCACAGGCGCTCGTTCTCAGCCATCATGTTTTCCAGACACTGTTCATTTGGCTTTGCTTGATCCACGATTGTCTGCATTGTCTCTTGCATCGATGTTGAGGGTGAGGTCTGGACAATTGAGTCGAAGTTCAAGACCCGTTGTGCGGTGATATTTTCCAGTCCAGGCATGTTTCTTGGAGTGATGTCATCTCTTGGCGTAATGTCGTCAGCGACTATTGGAGGATCATTTGTTACGCCAGCTATGGATGTGCTTAAGTATTTCCACAGACGGCGCTAATTGTGGAGAAGTGGTTTGGAAATACTCCAGTATCCAGTCAGATGTCCTTCATCCCCTGATTGCCACCTAAAAAAAAGGATGAACACTCCAATTGAGGGTGCCAGAATTAGCACTTCGATGGTCAAGATAGTACGCTCTCAGGTTTACTTCTATCTCAAGTTATTTTATCTATTCTCACATATCTTTCTTTTGTCAACGTTCCTCTTTTTATATTACCCTTTGGGCCCATGGGTCAGGCCCACCTTTAATCTAGCACTTGATGGCTTACTCAACCTTCTGATTGTGTGTTGGTTCCTATTCAGCTCTTCATATGGCCGACTGCACATTCAAATGTCTTCAGCCAGATCTCCAAATCTCTTCACATGGCCGACTATTCTCTACCTTCGATTGTAGCCGAATCGACTAAGGCCAGATGTCTTCAAATTCTTTGGCCTTCCTCAACACATAATTATTCGTCCCCCACAAAATCTGATCTTCAACCTGAACTCATCTACATAAGTCCTACATAAGTCCGACATGAAAATAATAAATTGAATTGTACTATGCTCGAATTGTTTGAATTATTTACAAATTTGAGTTTTTTGTTTTTGACAATTAGACTAATTGATTTGTTAAGGTTAGAATCTAGTAATATTTTTGGCTATAAAATCATTAATAAGATTAAAACAAATAATGTAAATAATGAGAAAGAAAAGAAAAATAAGAGAGAGATGAGAATTGAGAAACTGTTATACAAAATAATTTTTATCATTGATGAGAAAGAAAAATGAATGGTAAGTTTTGTATTTGTGTTGCTTATATGCATATGATATATATATATATATATATAAGTAAGAAAATATGAAAAAAAAATCTAAACTATTTTAATATTATTTAACAATTAATAATTTATATATAGTTAATAGTTTTATAAATTTATATAGGTTAAACTATCAATATGATTTTTTTGTATATGTCGCTAAAAATTGACAATTAGTAACTTTTTTTTATCACGATTTTTATAAATTGTTGCCAAAACTTTCAATTAGTGACATTTTTTTGTGATAATTTTTTTAAACTGTTGTTAAAAGTTAAAAATTAGTGAAGTTTTTTGTGTCGACTTTTTAAAATTTTCTCTAAAATTATAATTAGTGATATTTTTTATAACAAAATTTTCCAACTGTCGCTAAAAATTAACAATTAGTGACTTTTTTTAATAGTATTTGATAAAAAAACGCTATTAATTATTATAATAAGTCCCTTTATTAGAACTTACATGTAAGTCTCCTATTATTTAAACTAGGGAAATTTTATTTACACTAAAAAAAAATGAATAAGTGAGTTTAATGCTTCAATGCATCCTAATAAATTATGGAAAATGTCTCGTAACTCAAATTTTGTGGCTCAAAAGTGGCTCAAATGACCAAAACGACGTCGTTTTGGCCATTTTTATGTTATTCTGTACTCAAAACGACGTCATTTTAACAATTTAAATCACTTTTAAACTACAAAATTTGAGTTACGTAACATTCTCGCTAATTTTAATTGGTTGAATTGATCCAATCAATTCTGCAATTTTTTACACCCCGCATGCACGATTCCACTTGTAAAACAGTAGTGTCCACCTCCACCAACCACTGCTGCGTTCTCTCTCTCTCTTTTTCTGTCTTTTTTCCATTACATTTTCCTCCTCCCCAAACAACAGACGGACCCTCCCGCTTTGGGTTTCCCCATCCCGCTCTCACTTGTCCCATCATTCCTTTCTCCTCCAATTTTCTCTCCCTGGTAAGAAATTCAAATCCCACTTTCTCTTCTCTCTCAATTTCCCATCCTTCCTTTCAATTTTCTCAGTTCACTGCTCTGTAGTCTGTAACACAAACTAGGATTAGGGTTTTTCTTTTATACTTGGAATGCAATTTGATTAGTTCTTGTTTTTTCTTGTTTAGATTTCTTTTGATGGTGAAATTGTAAAGCTAGAGCTTTTCTTGAAATGATTTACTCTGTTTCATTAGGGTGGTTGTTTTGTCTATATACCTAGAAACCGAACTTTGAGAAATTTAGATGTTGTAATTGAAATGTCGCCGGAAGGGGCGAATTTAGGTGGTGATGGAGCAGAATACTCGTTTGCCATGGAGTACCATGGCCCACCTATTACCCATGATATTCCCCGAGCTGTTCCTATCAAAATGGGGAGGATTCCGGTGGCTACGGTGGTTGCCCAAGTCCCGTTCTCCGACAAGTTGTCATTGTTGCCGGTTGTCCAGCCAATATCTGCGCCTGATATTACTAAAAAGTTTTCAAAAGAGTTAAAACTAAGTTCTGAACCCACTGTTTCTCCCACATCTGTGATAGCCTTTGAGCGGGGAAATAGTGAGGGTGATGAATCAAAAGAATTAGCTGTAGGATGTGAAACAATTGTTTCTCCAACTTCTGTGATTGCATTTGAGGAGGGAGTTGCAAATAATGGCGCTTTTTCCATGTTAGGTGAATTAAGTAGCCTAGGTACTTTAGATTTCCAAAATAGGAATGAGGGCTCTGGAGAGTTTTCTGATGTGATTCAAAGTTTGACTGGGCTAGCACTAGGCTCTTCATCCAATAGTCATGAACATTCACATGAGATATTAGGCACGGCAGGAAGCTCAGGTACTTCGGAATTTTTGGATAGTTTTGATAAAACAAGGGAGTTATTAGGATGCTTAACTTCACAGAGGGTTTCAAATGGTTGCAAGGATAGTTTAGATCTTAATGATTCCAACCAGCTGGATTGGGTTTCAAGCGAGTCAGTGTTGAGCTTGGATCATCCGTCTTCTCGGGTTTCTTCTCCTAGGATTGAGGATGGCAACAATGGACCTGCTTGTGATGTAAGACGGACTCCGGTTGTAACTTTTCGTGATGTTGAATCAGATGAGGGAGATTTGGGTGAGGAATCAAGTCGTTCTGAACCTGAAGTTTACAGAGCAAAAAGAGAACCTGAGGTTAAGGCAAGGAAGGGAGCATGCTATCGATGCTCGAAAGGAAACAAGTTCACTGAAAAGGAAGCCTGCATCGCTTGTGATGCTAAGTATTGTAGTAATTGTGTGCTCAGAGCAATGGGGTCTATGCCGGAAGGAAGAAAGTGTGTTACATGCATTGGATATCCTATTGATGAAAAGAGAGAGAACTTGGGGAAATGTTCTCGAATGCGCAAGAGACTGCTCAATGACTTGGAAATTCAACAAATATTGAAGGCTGAAAAGTTTTGTGAAGCTAATCAATTGCCACCAGAGTATGTTTTTGTGAATGGTAAGCCTCTCTATCAGGAGGAGCTGGCTATATTGCAGAGTTGCCCAAACCCACCAAAGAAGCTGAAACCAGGACATTATTGGTATGATAAAGTTTCTGGTCTTTGGGGAAAGGTGAATGCAATATCCTTGAGACATTTTATGTTGGTACTATTGTTAATTCATTTGTTGCATTGTCACGGAACTTGATGGTTCTGAACTTCCGCTAATTTTAACAGGAAGGACAGAAGCCTTGCAAAATTATTAGCGCCCATCTGAATGTTGGGGGTCCCATCAAGGCAGATGCAAGCAATGGAAACACACAAGTTTTTATAAATGGTCAGGAGATCACAAAAGTAGAGCTACGGATGTTACAGGTTCGTATGTCTAACTATGGATGAGATTGAAACTAATCCACATGCATATATCTAATATTAATGTGTTCAACATCGTAGCTGGCAGGGGTCCAATGTGCTGGAAACCCACACTTTTGGGTGAACGAGGATGGTTCATACCAGGAAGAGGGACAGAAAAATACAAGAGGGTATATCTGGGGTAAGGTGTGTATCGATGTCCAT